CAGCTCTGCTGGAGCCTGGTCCGGGGCCTTGAGAGCAAGCACATGCCGTTCTTCGTGGGGGTGCCGGCCACATGGCACCACCTCAGTGGGTTTCTCGTTCACTTAATTCAGAATTTTTCCTGCCTCAGCGCTTGAGAGGTAGAGTGAAGAAGACAAGGGTACCTGGCCAGTAGTCCCGAGGCAGCAGAGAGACGCTGCATAACCGCCTCCGGAGTCAGGGCCGCATCCAGAGCAGCAGTGTGTCCGACCCTGAAGCATGTTTGAGAACAACGTCATCCAGAGCAAGCAGCTGTAGATGGAAACAAGTCCGGGTTTCTAAATTTGGGGTCTGTTTCCTAGCGTCTGATCCAAAGAACTTACGCTCCCCCACCTCCTGTTGTTAAACAGTTGCATCCTAATTCATTTTGTCTTAATTTCATTACCTTCTGTTGACAATACTTTCCTAAATGTCCTCTTCTTCATCTTCGTTCGGCATCGGAACGGGCTCCCCAGGGAGGTGGTGGAGTCACCATCCCTGGAGGCGTTCAAAAAACGTTTAGGTGTGGTGCTTCGAGACATGGTTTAGCGGGCATGGTGGCATCAGGTGTACGGTTGGACTTGATGATCTTTGAGGTCTCTTCCAACCACAACGATCCTATGATTCTTCCGCGATACATCTCGACTGAAGTACATTAGTCACTGCAGGCAACCTGGAGAAAACTTGGTGGTGGTGTGAATGAAAACTGCGTGTCGGGCTGGTGCCGGCTATCGCTGCGCCCTTGGCAGGGGACACCGGTCCGTCCGGTCCTGCCTGTTGTGTGAGCATACCAACGGGAATCCCCGGGAAATAAGAGAGAGCAGGGGCTCAATCTTAGAGGAGTTACGATGCCTAAATGTTTTCTGCAACGTGGATGGGCAGGTAAACCAGAGAGCTGGAGGGAGGAACCCATGGCGGTAAAGACGAGGCAAGCCAAAGGTACCAGGAAAACCCAAGGTGTGAATTTGACATTTTCAACCCAGGGAAGTATTAGTGCCATGGTATTATTTATGTAGCAACGTTTGGGTAATTGTGTTCTGTAACCCTGTGTGCACTCTCAAGATAGAAGGCTTAAGCCTAGATTTTACATCAGAGCCACAGAGAATTAGGCTTCTTTGAAAACCTCTGACAATATCTTTCATCAAATGTCCTTCATCACTTTGAACTGCCTTAATTCCATTAAAACCGCACCCTAACGCAGAGTGCAGCTGTGGCACGATATAAGTAATACTGTTGTTCAAGTGATACTCTACCTGTTAGAAATCTTGAATTTCTTGAATTCCTTGAGTTCTTGAATTCCGGAGTTCTTGGATGCCTTGCCTTCTGGCAGCTTTTGTGACTCTCAGCACTGGGCTTGCGAGGCAATTTTGATTCTTAATCTGCAAATTGCTCTGTGTCCTTTTGGGTTTATTTAAAAGTCAGTCTGGTGGGTGGTGGTGGTGTCGGAAACAGGGGATTACGACTTCTTAATGCAATTACACTGGAGCTGAAGCAGAGCCACGAAGGAGAATGAACTTTTATTCAAACATCTGTCAGCCGTGACATAGACCAGGAGAGAGAAGATTAAGATTGAATTATTTTGCTGTCTGATGTTATGTTAGCGCTGCCTTCTTGAATCGCATTGAAAAATTAATCTCGACAACAGTGCATCGTCACAGGACGGGGCAGGCACATCTCTTTTCCCTTATGTCACCCCATGATTGAATTTAGGAAATTTAGGGAAGAGCTTTTCACTTCAAAATTTTCTTTCATGAGGGGATTGTGTTTTGCCCGGTTTGGTTTTTTTTTTTCAGAGTACTGTGGTGTTGAGTCTTCTGCTGTTTTCTTTTTGATAATACCAAACCAACATTTATCCATAAACGTGGTGTCCTCGTAATTCCAAAATATTTCTGAGCATCAGTGTACAGTGATCTCTAGGGTGTTGCGGTTTCATTTGTGTTAAGCATCTTCAGGAAGCCAAGACCAATTGGTTATTTAAATCTGGGAGCCCTTAATGATAGATAGGCGTTTGTCAGATGAAGCGTACCTCTGCGTACTTCCAGAGCAGTCGGCAGTGGGATGAATTTTTGATGTTCTGGTGGCTTACAAGCAAAGGCGCGGTGCCTCCATCCTTTGGGACCAGAGGCGTGGGGGTGGTTCCTCACCTCTAGCAAAGAGCTGGGATGAGTTTCTGTCGCCTGCCCCAGCGGGAGGTGGTCCTGCCGTTGCAGCTCGGGCTGCTGGCGTACAAAGTTAGTCCGGGAAGAGAATATCCTTGTTGCTGAGGGCCCCGGGGAAGTGGGGCTTGTCTCTGCCCTGGCAGGGCGGTGATCGAGTCATTTAAACCAGACAGGTGAGATGGAGCCACTTTTTTCCGAGGCAGAAGTGGGAGAAAGGGCTGTGCTGTTTCAGACCCAGGTCAGTCTCTTTATGACAGTGCTCGGTAAAGTACACAGTGGTGTGAAGGGTGTACGTAACTCATACGTACCACGTGAAAGTTGCCCTGGCACCGTAACGATGGTGTTTATTAACAAGGAGTTGGGGGTTTTTTGCACCTAAATGTTGCTTTTTAAACAAAGTTGGTTTTGAGAACCGAGTATATACGAATTAGGCAAAGCTTCCCCTGCCAGCTAGATGAGCAAGAACAGTTTCATGCTTTCTATTATTAGACCCTGTTTTCAGTTATTTGCACGTTTTCCTAACTTAAGGCATCTGCCTTGAAATTTTCTACGCCTTACCTACTACTGAGAAAAACGAGAAATAAAAAGTTTGCAGTTCAGTCAGTGATAAAAAATGGTCCCACTGCTCCGATGAGCGT